GTATCCTCTTCTGTAGGTGAAAGAGAAGCCCCATGTGAGTCATTTCTGCTGCCCCCACCCCCCAGCCCGCTCCGACCTCTCTGTGATTTCTAGCATGGACATACCTACTTGTGTGTTCCTCCCCATGAGTTTCTGAATCAGAAACTAATACCCTTACTCCAAGTATAGCAACTTACTGCCTCTTTCTTCTTTCCTTTTATATCACATAGAAAAGTTTCCTTTGTGTATTGAATCTCTCTTGCCTGATTTTAGGGACCTACAAATGTTCTCTCTAGGTCCTTTGAGAAGTTGTATGTGGGCATAGGTTCTTGGCGAAAGGCTGTCTGGATGAATCACAATAATCCCAACATTTTCCCAGGTTGTGTTTTGCAAGACAGGTTGAAATAATTTACATGGCTTTCTAATCATTTACGCTCATTATCACCGTAGTATGCTCTTGTCATCCCATACCTGACTCAAACTAAGTCCTAATACATACCAGATTATTTTAGGTGCTCCAAATATGGTTTGCTAGAGGAGCCATTTTATTGTTTGTAAAATAAACCAGAAGAGCATTTTTAGGTGCATATGGAGAATACCAAGCTCCTACTTTATAAACTGATTTCATTGACCTCTATTCTATCCCATATAATGGCAAAAATATATACCTGAATTAATTAGTCAAGTGTTAGAATCTGTTCTGTGAATTGAGGAAACACCTGCGGGTAAATGAAAAGAACTGTGAAATTATAAAATAGGATGTGATCCCTTCTTTCTTACTATAACAACATTACACACTTTCCTTCTTCCTTTATGTACACATGATAAGTCTTCTTGATGAATTACATTTTTCAAATGGATGGGACCATTCCTAGTTAATCTCCAGCTGGGAAATAGTTCCCTTCAATGCTTACCTATCCAAGCACAATGGAGAATAAACCCCGTATCTGATATTCATTCAACTATCAGGACTGCGGTGACACCTTTAAAGAAATGGACAAATAAAAACCTTTCCTTATAGAGAAGCTGAAAAATGATTAACCTGATACCGACCATAAAGAGTGCTCAAAACTACTTTGGTAGTAGTTATGCTTTCACCAACGAGGGCGAAAAAGTTTAGATAACTCAAGGAAAACTGTACTTCATGGAAAATGCCAGAATGAAGAGCAAATCAAGCCAACAATTTCACTTTTCACCACTTGGCATAGCATATTTTCCCTTTATGCGAATAGAAGTGGGGCATGGGTGCTATATTTAAATCTCTTGATTTTTAAATGAAAAAGCATATCAAAACCACTTCTTTGCTTTTATTGAAATCTGTTTCATGGCCAATTCACTCATTAAAAAAATTGGATTTGGTTGTCTTAGAATTAAAAATCCTCTTTGCTTCACTAGCCTTTTAAAGCTCTTTACCTTGGGGTCTACAGTTTCGTATGGTTGGATCTTGGGCACATCTGAGCCTAAATAATGGGTTGTTCTGGTTTGTTTCCCTAGATGGTGCATTTATTTGTGTTTTTATTTTTTTTATTGGGTACTTAGACTATCATGGCCCTGACAAGGTCTTAGACAAATAATATTCTTTGGACTTCTTGAAAAGACAAAGTGAAAATATAAAAAAAAAAAAGGCAAGGATGAAACATTTTCAGTCCACCATTCCTGTGATAATATGGTAGGAAGCAAATATCAGATTATACAGTCAAGGGAACATTGCTGGAGAAGGAGGTTAATGTAACAGAGCCCCCCTCCCCACCCCCCCTTGCTGCAAGGCCCAGCAGGTGTGATGAGGTATCTCATTGTTCCTTGGTGGTACCCTGTCATGGTGACATCTTCTGAGATCCCTGTGCATCTCTCCAGTTGACTAATGCAGGGAAAGTCCTGCATTTGATTGAGTTATTGGAGCACTCTATGAAGCTCTCTTTTTACCTCTATAAACAGTCTAGGAGTCTTCAGGAAAGAAACTGATGGAGCAGACAGGAACACTTTAGTTCTTTTGAAATCTGTTGTTAGAATTCAACTTTTTCTTCCCTTCCTTTAGGCCTGGCTCTTGCTATTCAAAGCCAAGCTGGAGGGAATTCAAAGACCTGTTCTTTCTCGATTGCTTTGGCATAAAGGACTCTGAATTTGGAGATTGAATTGTTTAGTTCTCTCTGGTTTCTTCCCTTCTGTGAGGTAA